TCTGAATCCCAGAGCCAATCTATCTGCAGTGCTGCATTTCAACCTACTCCATAAGCCCCCGTTCTGGGATTTCACTGAGAAGGAAGGATGAATGGATAATAAAGCCATTTCATACTTCCTAGTATTAATCTAGGAAGCACAGAAGGGTTGTTAGTATCTAGACCTTAACCAATGCCAAGAACTGAAACATCCCAGAGGATACTGAGAATCTGCACTGGCATCTGACCATCACAAATAATAGCCTCTTCCATCAGCGCATCAATCCTGCTATACAGCCTCCCTAAAAACTGAAGAACCACAGCCATCAGTAGGATTTGATTCCAGAACCACTCAGGTCTGAGCATCATTAAAGCAGTTTGGTACCCAACTGTAAGGCCACCTCTATCTGTGAGTTTTATTTATTTCCTTCTCTGAGACTGTTCTGCTCTGTGCTAAATCTATCTTGTGACCACCTGGAGCGTTTGAGAGTCTTGGCTGTGATGCTTGTCTGTTTAGATAGACTGCAAGTAGAGCTGGTCAAAAAATTTTGACAGAACAGTTTTTCGCAGGAAAACGGAGTCCTCTTGAAATCGAAACATTACATGGGAACATGTCAATTTTGACAAACTTTTTTATGTTTAAAGTGTCAAAACAAATCATTTTGATTTTCTCTCTTCACTTCAGTTGTACTGAAATGTTTCATTTTGAGGAGACAAACACATTATTTTTATGTTGTTTCAATTAATTTGCTTTGACATTTTTACTTATTCTGTACGGTGTTGATATATGTTTAATACGTTTAAAATACATTATATAGTGCATGAAGCATTTGATGGTGTTTTAGTTATAACATTTATTAACACTACACCGTGCCAAATATTTCCTGTAGCATTTTAATGCTGCAGAAGCAGAAGATATTGATGGTCTCAAATTATTATTATTTTTTTTTTTGCCTGAAAAAATTTGTTCATAAGAGCAAAGTTCTTATTCAAAATGGAGTTTTAAATAAATATGTAAATAAATAAGTAAAACCACACAAGCAACATAAACACAAACAGCAGAAATCTGAGGGTAAGGATTTTGTGAGGAAATAGCATGTCCATTTTCCGAGCAGCTCTGTCAGTTCAGTGATTGCACAGCACAACTCAGGTCTCTTCTGCACATAGGAAAGCCAACCTCTCTGTTTGATTTATAAATAAAGAAATACATAAGTAAGGAAAATGCAGATTTTCCCAGAGTAGAATCTGCGTGTAATGTTTTCACGAGCGTCAGGGACTTAAACATCTTAATACCATTCACCTCCTTGGGGCCTTTGGCTTCTAAACCACTTACGGGCTTTTGAAAGATATATTCCTCCTCCTCCTTGCAAGTCTACCTGTTTGGGCCTTTTTTTTTCAAATCTCTCTCTCCTTTAGAGCCCATTTTTGCTCCTCCATATGTAGCAGAGGGGAGTTGCTCCCCATGCATTTGTGCCGTCAAGCCGGCGCAGGAGGAGGTGGAAGCGGGTTGAAAAAAAAGGGCAAAAGAGAAGCGAGAACGGGCACAACACAGAGCAGAGCCTGCAATGATGCAGCTCCATCGATCCTTCATTTCATGGATGGAAATGTCCCCGATGGCCCCTGCGCATTTGCTGCTGTTCGATCGGAGACGGAGGGCAGCGGGGCTCGGTGCTCCACGCTACGCCCTGCGCTGCTGCCTGCAGGCTGGGAGACAAGGCCGAAGAATGAGCATCCCCTGTCTTTCGAGGTTTAACATAGCAGGGGCTTTTCTGCCTGCTTTCCCTCTTTAAGGGAGGTGTCCCTACAGCCAGGCACCGCAACTGAAATGCTGAATCCCCCCGTGCAGCTGCTCAGCGTGCATCTTTGCATGCAGATTCGCCTGGTTGTCTACAGTTGCTCCAGCTGGTCTGTCACTACAGATTACAGCTTTTTTGCTAATAGCAAGGCAGTGCTCAAGTCTGAGACTTCCATTAAGGGCTGATGTTCCCACCTCCCCATCCCACAAATGGCTCCCTTCCAGCCAACGCTTCTGTATGCTTGGCCTTGTTGCTGCAGTGCAAGAGGAGCAAAGTGCCTCCATTTGTTTCCGTGTTAGACAACAGTGGAACAAGTTGAAGGCAGAAAAAGATGATAGAGGATGAAGAAATTTGAAAATTGGGACTTAGTAGCTTGAAGGGTGAGCTCATCCCTTGTCACCTGCACATTCATAATATTGCAGCCCCATCCCTTTGACAGCAACAGTACCACCGATCACTGAATTATCCCCTGGTCCTTGAGTCCTTGAGAGAAATGCTTCATGATGCCAAGCTGCACTGAGGAGTCTCTTTGGAGAGGAAGAATGCTCCTGCAGGGAGAGATTGCCCATCCAAGCCAGGTACTGGAAATCATTAGCCCTTCATTGCCAGAGGATTTGAAGGCTGCTGACAGATCGAAAAGAATTGGCATGGACACTTGACCTTTCTCCATTGCCAGGAGGAAATCATTGACCAGGAAGAATAGCACATGCTCTACTCATCTCTACAAGGGAAAGGAAGAAAGTCTGGAAGAATACAGAGCTATTTGTAAAACAAACACTACAGCTTCAGCACAACCTGCGCAGTTGGCCAGTGGTGCACTTGTGGGCATGCTGGAGCAGTGACTTTCAGCTTGGCTCACGTCAGATGGCATCACAGCTCCTCCTGTTCCAAAGGGGACATTCAAAATGAGGGTCTACGCAGAAGATCCCTTGTGGATGCCAACAGATTCACACTTCTGCAGGCTGGGAACAGGACAGCACATGTTGAAGTGCAGCTTATCATTCATTAGCACAGTATCCTACCAAAGAAAGAGCCAGGTTCCCTGCAACACCATGCACGCAACTGAGTTCCCCACTGCTTGATAGATCCCACACACCTCTGCATCCTTCCCAAGTGACTGTCTGACAGCGATCCAGAGAAGGCATCACATGTGTTTCTCTAACAGCCTGACTCCCAGGAAGACACTGTGCAATCAGCTAGCCAAAACCAAATATGAAAAACACCTCCATCACTGGTCATGACTAATTAATTCTGCTTTGACATTCCCTAGGGTACCTACCAGCTAGTAAGAGCTGCTGGAGGAAGAGACACTGCTGTGGAAAAGGAATAAATAGATTTTCCTCAACTGCAGCCATAGAATTAGATAATAAATAACTAGATAGATAAATAATTTTCTGTGAATGGCAAATCAAATGCAGAACAAGAACAAGAACGGCTAGCTGGCTTTTCCCTGTGAGATCGAAGGTGTTTGGAAGGAGTTTCCAAAGAAGGATATTTAAAGTCTACTCTGCTTGTGAAGGCATAAGCCTGAAGTCATCTATCATGTCTAATGTGACTGTTTACAAAGACAGCCAACTATTCTTGGACATTTTATTCTTGATATAATATTCTTGGCTCAAAGTAGCTCAAGGAAGCGTCTTCCTAATTTACATCTCAGTTTTCTCCCTTCCCCTGCCTGGATTGCAGGCTTTGTTCCCAGAGTATCAGTACAGTCCCCCCCACCAGCTGCTGTGTTTTTGGCCTCTATTCTCCAGGGAGCTATAGGTACCAGCCCAGATATGGATTCTTCAATCTCATCTCCTATCTGGCCCTTAAATGCTTCTCCTCCTTAAATCCATGCGCTCTGTTCACATCACTTCATTAACCATACAACAGAGACTCCAGAGACAAAAATGTTAATTCTGCACAACTTGAGGACACCGGCAGGAGTTCCAGCAGCATCCCGGATTCAGGTACTGACCCCATAGTGTGCATTGTACCAAGCAGATGGCAGTCTAATCCCTGCCAGCACGCAATGCCCAGCGCGCAGAGAGCACCCGTAACCCCTGTCTGATCAAATATGCATACTCACATCTGATTTTACTCAAGCACTAGAAGTCCCTGTGCACTAACTCATCCAGACAAATCAAATGCGAGACATCCAGACTTCAGGTCCTGTCACAGCAAAGAGAAAAAAGCTGTTGCTTCCTCTTCGCTCACATATCTCTGCCCTGTAAGTCTGTGCTCTACTTTTGGCCCTTTAGGTTCCCAGCTTTCAGACAGGCCTATGCTTTCCTTCTTAAATGTTCAGTTTGGATCCTGTGTTCCTCCTGCAACCAAGGCTTCCACTCCCTGCCCACCTTGCTACACACCTTCAGCTGGAATCTATTCACATCTGTGCCTTCCCTCCTTCCTGCTTCTCTTCTCCTTCATCCATCCTGCTCCTTGTTCAACCCTTGCAGCAGGCACAGGCAGGACACGTTATTAACACCTGTCACTTCATTAGTCATCTTCTGCAGGAGGAGCAGGAGAGGAGAAAAGAGGAAAGTGTGCAAAAAGGGAGAGGAGGGAAAGTCGAATTAGAGGAAGAATGATGAAGAAATGAAGGTGTGAATGAGAAAGTGCTGGAGAAGAAGAAGTATGAGAAAAACCTAATGGGTGAGAAAGGGATTTATAATTAATCTGCAGTCTAGTGAGAGAGCAGAGGAATGGAAGTCAAGACTCTATGCTTCTCCAAAGGCTTCTACTACTGATTACTCCGTGACTCCAGACTAATCTTTTTATTTTCTCTTTTATCTCCCACTGCTCTGTACCCTTTGAGTATAAGTTATTTGAGGTATGGATTGTTTTAAACTCTGTGTAGCACAAAGGAAACCGTAATCATAGGCACTGAAGACGCAAGATGTTATTTTTAACACGCACTAAAATCAGGCACAAAAAAGTGCTATGGGATCGACTGACAATGCTTATTAATTCAGGCTGAATCCATTAGATAGTGGTTGTCAGGAAAAAAAAAAAGCCAGGATAGGAGAAATCTAAACGAGTCCAAGTACAACTGTGTTATTTCTAAACTCTCACACAGCGCTGTTGACTTTTACAGTACCTTACTCTCTTCTAGTCTAAACCTACACTTAACAGAGAATTTAAAGTAAAACAGTTAGATGTACAGAAAAATGAGTGAGCTAATCCTTATTTCCAAAATGTGAGAACAGTTCTCAGGAAATAATCTCAAAGAGATCAGATTTACTTTTTCCATTAGAAATTGGTGCATACAGATCTTTTATTTTGAGACTGTCACAGCATCCTTTTCTACCTCTTCTTCCTCTGAATTCTTGCTTTCCTCTTCTTTTGGATCCTCTCTGTTTTTTTAAGCACAGCTCCCTCTAACATGTAACCAGAGGCATCAGGTCTCTACAGAAAAACGGAATGAGTGATATCCAAATGCATCTGACATTAAACAAAACAAAATGCATGGCTCACTACTATCAGCAATCCCTAATCCAACCCACCAAAGAGTGCTTTGAATGAGATGAAGACAGCAGGAACAGAAGAAGCATGTACAGGGGATCCTGCTCTCCTATTCCTTGGGCATTCACAGAATCACAGATTCACAGAATGGGCAGGGTTGGAAGGGACCTGAAGGATCATGAATTTCCAATCCCCCCGCCACATGCAGGCCACCAACCTTCCCATTTAATACTAGACCGAGCTGCCCAGGGTCCCATCCAATCTGGCCTTGAACACCTCTAGGGACAGGATTCTCTGCCTTCCATTCCCACTCCTGAGCTCTCAAGCACGCTGCTCTGCTCCCATCCACCCAGTGCCAGTCTCAGTCATAGAAGTACTGAGGGAAGCATCACCTGCTTAGGTTCCTGCATCCACTGGATTTAACACTGAATTGTATTCACAGATAGCTGCAGACAAACAGTAATGCTGTGCAAGCACAGCAGAGCGTATGTTTGTCCCCAGCCCTCCTGGCCACATCTATTACAGCACCTGAGGTGCCCCAGCACCAAAGAAGTATCCCTGATCTCTGTGACAGAATGGGTTTAGGGACTGCTCTTTGCTGCTCTCAAGGCTCTGTGCTTCCTCCCTTCATCTCAGAACCTACTGCATTAACAGGGGTGAAGATCCATCTGCTCATTACCTTGACACAAGCTGCAAAGGCAGAGACAAACCCAGAGCTGCGCCCTTCCTAACACAGTGATTTCTTCCACCATGAGCAGCCTGGAGGAGCAGAAGCGAGAAAAAAAAGCTATGGGAAAACATACTGACTGTTTTCAAAACTAAAAACAAACAAAGTAATGAGAAGCACTGCAGGAGAATCCACTGGTAGGAAGGACTTCTGCTCTTCTTTTTAATGTAAGCAGTTTTATCATTAATTGCTATTTACTGCAAATGTTGGAGTTGGTAAAAAAGCTAATACAATGCACTGAAATAGCAATCTCTATTCAGGTGTCTCAGAGAACAGTATGTATGTGCATGCATGGATACGTGCACTTGCATACTGCCTTGTGCACAGTGTGTAAGCAAAACTCTGCATCTGTGTGCAGGAGAGGGAAAAAGGTACAATCAACATATTCTTCCCTTATATATTCCAGCAAAAGGCTAACTTCATTAGCGGTCTTAGGTAATGAGAAGATAAGTAAATGCAGGTCAGACTACTAAACACAGAGCCATTTTGCTGAGGTGGTACGGAGTCAGATGCAAACCGGAGCTGCTTTTGCCCAGATGGAAATTTAAAGACTCAGCACTGCTTAACACCGGTCTTTGGGGGACTATATTTCCTGAGGACACAGGTTGCTGAATTCTTCAAAAAAATCCAGATTTTTCCTCATGCCAAATGTGGAGCCGAGTTCCCTGAGTAGTTCATATTCACCCTGTGAGCCGGGGGGCTCGGAACCGCAGCTTCAACTGAAGAAATTCAGCTCCTATGAACGGAAACGCACGCATTTAAAAAGCTCTTCTGGAAGATACCAACCTAAGTGACCTGCCCAAGGTCATATGTAACACGTCGGTGACAGCATCAGAATTGAACCATCTTGCCACGGTGCTGCTTTATTCACACAGCGCTGTTGCATCCCAAAAACAGCCGCTGCTCCCGGTCCGCTGCTGCCTTCCACTCCTTATCGCAGTCTCCTTAGAGACACATCTGTCCTGTGCTCCGTAAACCATAATATACCCATAGTCTTTTATTCACTATCCGTCACTTTGCAGTTTTATTGCAGATCCCTGAGTTATCCAGCCTAGCTTACAATCTGCTTATTCCTGCCAGCCATTCTCCTTTCTAACCCACACCTCACATTTCATTCTTGTCAGTGTTTTAAGCCTTTCAGGTACTTGAAATGCAGGGACAATTCTCATTCCCTGGGGCAAATCCAGCAGAATTTCACCAAAGCCAACCTGCTGGTTCCTTTCTACCTTTTCTCTATTTTTAATGCAAATGGTTGGAAATCAGAACCTAGCAGCAGTCTCTGCAGTCACATTCGAACCAGTCCTTCAAGAATACTAACTCACAACTGCCATTTTAAAGCTCCGATTCCAATTCATGCTGTCTTTAAATTTTACTTCCCCCCTATTTTCTGCTCCCTTCATCAGAAATCAATCTTCCAATAATGCAGGTAAACTGCAATCCAACCCACAGCTACTTTTTGGCTTGCATCTTTCTCATGCATTTTGCAGAATGAAAACTCTGTTGTCCATTCTTCTCCTTTCCAGCCAAGCCTATAAGCACAGTAATCATCACACCTACGGAACACCTTGCCAGCAGATTTGCACCTGCCTGTCACATCTCTATATTGTTTGCAAGCCAGGAAGCAAAAGAATCATTTTTTCTTGATGTGGCAATTTGTCTCAGCACTCACACCTGCTTTTCCAGTGACCTTTGTGTTCCTGCCTACCAGCTCTCCTCTCCCTCCCAGCTCCAGCCACATATCTCTCCTGGAGCTTTATTCCATCTACAGTATGTGCTCTCCTCACAGCCATCAGCTTTTCTTCCTTCCCACCTTTCTGAAGGAAGTGCACTTTAACTACCTGTCCTAGAGCAGCTGGTTGAGGAAGAGAAGTCTCTTTGCACACCTGGTGATGCCTACGGCCACAAGACATGTGGTCTTCAGAAAGCATCCCCTGCCAAAGCAAAGCACCTCTGTCTGTATATGACAGCCTGCTTTCCCTTTGGCAACAGGAAAATAAGACTGACGTGAAGGAAGGGTATGGAGGAGGGCAGGTCTTCCCACCAACACAGCCCTGGTGGTGGTAGAAGATGCTGGGCAAGAGACAGGATTCTGGTCAGCACACAGCACCATGGGATGATCCACATCTGGGGAGCACCTTGGAATACTCTGATGCACAGGGCTGCAGCATGGGATGGAGGAGATGGGACACAAAAGAGCTCTGTCAATGCTATCTCCTCTACCAGGGCAGTTTGGTTGAAACTCCAGATGCACCAAATCATTTATCTGTGCCGCAGCCTTCCTCTGTGAGCCCGGGGAAATTCTTTAAGGTGATCATTCACACACACCTTAGAGACTGATTTTTCAAGTGTTCGACATCCCACTGCGATATTAAAGGCCCTGTTTTCTCAAACGTCCCGTTATTTTGCCACTGACTACTTTCAAAATTAGTAAAGGTTAAGAGTGAGCTCCCAATCCTGCAAACTGAAATGCTTCCACTGACTGTAATAGGATTTGAATCGATCCCTGAGCTCTGTGCTGCACTTCCCCTTCTACAGAGCAGTGGTGACAGCATTCCCTGCCTCTTTTCTTACTCCTCTGTCTGGACTGCAGGCCCTCAAGGGCAGAGAGCTCACATCCATACAGTACCTTGCACAGGAGACTGCAGGCTCCTCAGGGCTCCGTGCCGTCCTGCAGATAACAGCAGCAATAAACGAAGTTGAAATGTGCAGCTCAGGGTCATTGCAGCTGCTTACAACCTCCCATTTTATGTGCTGCTTCAATATCTGCTGTAATCTTTGAAATTACTTATGTGGGAGTTGACACAGAAGAGGAGATTGTTGGATTGATATTCTGTTTGGCAATGATGAAAACCTTTTTAAGAAATACCACCTTAACCCAGCACCCACAGAAGCAATTTGCTAATCTCTTTGCTGACTTAGCTTCTATCAGTCATATTACCAAGACCAGCCATATTACCACAACCAACTTTATTACCTGGCCAAACATATTATATTCTTCCCAGGCAGAGAGAAAATGTCCTTCCTGACCCCAGAAGATGGTCAGCCTTTGCTTTGAAGCACCAGATCTGATTACCATTGCCCTAGATTGCAGAGCTGCAAATGCTATTAATTGCTACAAAGTTGTGTAGCCCTTTACACTTCAAATCCACCCAGACTTTCATCTCAGTGACATCCTGCAGCAGGGAATTGTGTAGCCTCACTATAGGCTGAAGAAAGGACTATTTCCTTTTAATTTGCCTTAAAAGTTGTGCCCTTTAATTTTGATGTGTCCCTTGTTCTTGTATCATCAAAGGATTAAAATGTTTCTGATCACTTTTCTCTCTAACCTTCAGATACTTTTGTGCTGGAACCCAAAGGTACCTTCTTACTCCTAAGCTTTCCCAGACTAAATAAACTATTCTTTCCAGTCTTTCCTCATTTAACTTGTTAATATTTGTAAAGCAATTTAAAATATATTAATACAGTTCAATTATAATATCGTTTCTATTTTTCATCCTCCCTTTTAATGTCTCAAGTATCCATTTAATTTGCCATCAATCTCCATTGATTCTCCTTCTGATGATATGTTAGTCTTTATAATATCCTGGGGAATATTTCTTCTGCCTTCCTGACCAGCATTTTGGAACAAAGAAACTGAACTCCATCGGATCATAAACATGATTCACTCTGCACTCCACACGCGTATGGATTTGCAGTTGCTTAGACTTTGATCTTGGAATCAGATTTCATTATGCCCATGGTAATTGGAAATGTGTCTGTGTGATTCAGGTTGCAGGATCAGGCCCTCTGCAGACATGATGGCTCTGGGTTGGTGACAGTTCAGCACGTATTTGAAAGCCTATGTTCAGTATTCCTTGAGCAATATTTAAGCCCTCAGTAACGCATTCTGCAGAATTCTGCATGCCATGGAGACAAGGATGTGATCTGGTGTCTGTCCAGCCACAAACAGGGCAGGGATGGCAAATGAAAAATGGTTACTCACTCTCTCTCATCCTACAGAAAAGTTGGAGGCACCCAAGGAAATTATGTGGTAGCAGATATATATATATATATATATAAAAAAAAAACAACCAAAACTGAAATTCTTTTGCACACAACCTATGACTATTTCCTTTACTGCAGGATGCTGTGAAAACCAAAAGCACAACAGCCACACTGACAAGAGCTGGGCTCCCACTGACACCGCACGCAGCGGTCGTGGGACAACTGGTGACTTCACACATCCACAGCCAGATGCACACAGCACTCCTCCAGGCTTCCCCAATCCCTTCAGGGCCCACCACTGACCCATGGGACACAAAGCCATTGCTAAATCGACCCTTCACTTCAGCCAGAGTGGCAGCTCTCAGCTCTTTCACTGTTATCCCCTCTCAGTCTCTTAATTGAGGGACTTCCATTGGCCTCTGATGGTTGTTTTTTTTACTTCTTGGAGCACCCTGTATTTATTTTTCCCATTCTGTAAAGATGCTCTGTTCCAGCAATTTCAACAAATGTTGCTTCCTCCCTGGTTTTGGTGAGACCACTTCCGAGCTGCTCTCATTTTTAATGCAGTCTGACCCATCTCCACTGCCAAAATGCACCTCTCCTTCCTCCATGTCACTGCCTTACATCCTGAGCAGCACTTTCACTTCTGATCATCACGTTTTACCATTAACTTTCCTCCCCAAAAAGTAAAGAAGACTATTGATACATCTATCTATAAGTGTACTATATATCTATATCTCTCACTCTCTCTCTCACTCTCTCTCTCTCTATATATATATTTATAAGAACCCAAATTTCAGCTAATAGGCTTCTTTTAGCCAGCACGACATAAATACTGACGTAGAATCCTAACTGGTGGCTTTTCCCTGCCTGGTTACATTCAACTGCTCACTGGCCTAAAATACAGTGCAGTGCAACCCACCCTCATTTTCAAATACGTTATAGTTCTCTTCAGGAGAATGGAAATGGCAGATAAACACATTTATCAGCATTCTCAGACATAAAACAGTGGAGCCTGGAGTTGTTTTGCAGAAACAACTCTGAATTTGGATGGCATGACATAAGCAATTCTAGAAATAGCTGCTGGTCTTAAGGCTACATTACATGTGTCCCCATTGCTGCTTTCTGTCCGTTCATGGTTTCAGTACAAACAATATGTTGCCTTTGTTAATTCTCTCCTTGGATTTCCTCAGCATTTCTCAAGCGTTCTTCAGTCTCACCTCGTGTCTCATCATCTCTCCCTGCTCCCTTACAACATGCAGCTGATTTTGACTGCAAGTCTCTCCCCACACTGAGCAGTGCCAAGAAATGCCTGGATAATTCTTCCATCCTCATACTGTAGGCAAGGAGGTGACCCGAGCCAGGAGGGACCTAAAGCCATATATGTACCCCAGCATATGTCTGAGACTTTTGCTACCCGCTCGCCATCTGTACCTGCCTGAAGAGCAGTCACATGCAGAAAGCAGTCAGGCTGCTCCAGCACTCAGAGCCTGCCTGGCTGCTGTGTATTCCACCCATCCCAGAAGTCCAGCTAGAGATTCACACCTGCTTGTCTTGGTTTTCCTGCTCATCCTGACGCACTGGTGTCCTCCCCAGGGTCACAGCTCAGTTCCTTCCATGGTTAGTTTTAGCTTCTTTGCACTTTTCTAACTATTGCTCTGAACAAACATCTTTTATTTATTCTCCTGGTCCTGGCAGCATGTCTGGAATGTATTGCTTACACCAGGCAATGGTTCTAAAGCTTGCCCTTTTGGTCTTCCATGCTGCTTAGCAAGTCAGTATCCACAACTGCAAGGATAAATTATCACAAAGGTCTCCAATGTTTGCAGTGTATCTGACAACCTCATACATTGCTCCAGCAGGTAAAGAGATGGCTAAATGAGATCAGTTGTGCCGACTCAGTATTTCTGGCCAAAACTGCATCCAAAACCATGACGGACACGGCGGAATCCAAAAAGCAGGCCAGGTTCTAAATCACACTCTAAATCAAACCCCACGATAGAGATCCTCACTCACCACGAAGCCAGTTAACTCCCCCAGCTTCGGCAGGCTGTGCTGACTTACAGCAAGCAGTTCCTGGCTTTTCACAGGTACTCGCTGTGCATTTCAGCTGCAATAGGCATAGATAGAAAAGTCCCAGCTACAAGAACACCTGCCATAAGGCTCCAGGTTTTTTCTTCTATAAACATGGTCAAAGAGCATGCTTCCTCTCAGGAGAGCCACGAGACAGGTCACAAGCATGAAGGACTGCAAGAACCAGAGCTACTCTATGGTCTTATGTCCCCTTACCCTGCTAGAAATCATACAAAATGAGAGAGCAGAGGGGAGTGTGAGAGCTCCCTTTGCTCCCGTGCTGTGTTTTCATTTCCAACAAAATGCCCTGGAGCAAATTTTTATTTATTTATTTATTTATTTATTTATTTATTTATTTATTTATTTTTGGAGATGCCCTTGTGTGTGAGAACATCTTATAGGTTGGTTTGCAAGGTTTTGCTTCACTGTTTGGTATGTATCAGCACAGAGCTGGCTTTGCTGTGATTTGTTAACCCGGGAGAGGAAAGGTGTCACTGTGATGGTTTTATTCTATTCAAAAGTGCTCTCTGCTAATGCACACAGAAAAAAATTGTAGGGATTGAAAGCTGCACTGGTGATCCTGGCATTTGAGCTATTTCTTCCCAGCATTTCTATCACTAACACCAACACTGCACAATGACAGTGAGTCTGGCAAAGGCTGCTCACCCTGTCCTCCTCTGGAGGCCACCATTTGAAGAAGACTGTTTAGATTCTTTGCTCTGCTCAGCTGCTGCTGCTTCAACTTACTGCTGTTGCCACTGTAAGGGGTGAACCATCAACAGCACAACGACACGGGAGGGGGAAATGGTGTGAGTGAGAGCATGGCAGCTTCTTGTGTCAACACCCAGAGATGTACCATGGGCAGGGTGGGGGGGCTTGGTGGGATCCATGGGGATCCAGCACCAAGCAGGCCTGGCGGGGGGCACGGCAACAGTGCTGAGAGTAGGTAAGGTATGCCTTGTAGGCAACTGTAAGATGGATGTAGAGCACATGACTTCAGAAAAACAAATAGAAAAAATAAGTAAGCATCTTTCTCTGTCTCTCCTGTGATGCTGCTCGCAGGCCTTCCTGCCTCCAGGCTGTAAGCAAACAGCTCACCGTACACAGGTCTGCATCCCCAGCCCAGCACTGAGGGAACCCAAGGCCTGACACTCAGTTTCTTTCCAAAGGGACATGTTCATGTCACCTTCACTTAGGATCTGATCCAGCATCCCTGAAACAAAGTTCAGTCTTTCAATTTTCTCCATCTCATTCTGCATCCCCTGTCTTATTTCTGCTCTTTCTTGCACCCCTCCCATCCACTAGTCATAGCACTTTTTCTTCCCTGAAATGGAACAGTTCAGCTCATCATGCCAGCACAGCTGTCCCATGCCTACTCTCAAACCCAGGTGAACACCACCTCATTCATCGAGTCCATCCCTGCCCATGCTTGACTCCCTCTGGACAGACAAATCCAGCAGCCGTACCCCATTTCCCATTCCCACACTGACCACAGGCTGCAGCCTCATCACATCAAGCTCTGCACCTCCGCATGGCAACACCAAGCTGCACGGCGAGCAGGGAAAAATCCAGAGCACTCTGTGCTGCCCAGCAGAGCTGAGATGCTTTGCCCCATCCCAGCCCCATAGGGCAGCCGTCAGAGCAGGACTGT